AAAGGAGGAGGATTGGCAATAGATGTTAGCTCAGAGCCAGTCTTCCTCAGCAAAAAGAGGAGGATTAGCATGGATGTTAGCTCAGGGCTGATCTTCCTCATTAAAAAAAAATAATAAAATAAAATAAAATACTCCCAAGATCCCAAACATGTGGGTAAATATAAAAGCCTGTTTTTTCTTTAATTTCTTTAAAAGACATATGACTGTTTAAAGCAATAATTTTAACAGTATCATGGGATTATAAAGTATGTATGTGTAATATATATGACAACAATAACAAAGTGTTGCAAGGTTTCTCACATTTTACATGAATTGATACAATGTTAACTCTAAGTAGGCTGTGATAATTACAGGATCTCTCTAGAGCAACCACTAAAAAATAATGCAAAGAGGATTAGCTAAAATGGCAAGAGATAAATTAAAGTGGAATACTAAAAAATATATTTGCTCAACCACAAGAAGGCAGGGAGGAAGACACAAGGCAACAAAAAACAAATGGGACAAACAGAAAACAATGCCAAGATGGTAGACCTAAATCCAACTATATCAATAGTTACATTAAATGTTTATGAACTAAACACTTCATTAAAACACAGAGATTTTTCACACTACGTTAAAAAAAAAGCCAGACCCAACTACATTGCTATCTTCAAGTCTTTAAATATAAATATTCAATTTGGTTGAAAGTAAAGGATAGAAAAAGATACCCAGTGCAAACAATAAATAATAAGAAAGATGGAGTAGCTAAATTAATATCATACGAAATAGACTCGAGAAGTATTTCCAGAAATAAAGAGGGACATTTTATAATGATAAAAAACGGATCAATTCATTGAGAAGATATAACAATCATAATTATGTATTCACTTAAAATCAGATCCAAAATACATGGAGCAAAACCTACTGTCTCTTTTCTAGTTCACTGATATCTATTCTTTATTGTTTCCTTCCTTATACTTCTTTTGGTCTGATTTGCTTGCCTCTTTCTAGCATCCGAAAGTGGAAACTTGTCATGGGTTTTCAATCTCCTTTTCTAATATAAGCATTTAAAGCTATAACTTTCCCCCTAGGCACTGGCACTGCTTTAGCTACATTCTACAAATTTTGATACATTGTGTTTTTGTTACCAATGAATTAAAAATATTATCTTCTTTGACCTATTTATTTAGAAGTTACTTAAAAGTGTATTAACTTAAAAATTTTTACTGTTATTCTAGATTTTATTATTTTTCTAATTTAATTCCATTGTCATCAAAGAACATATTTTAGAAGATTTCAATCATTTGAAATGTATTGAGACTTATTTTATTGCCCAGAATATGGTCTATCTTGGTAAACAAAATGTGTATTCTATAGTTGAGTCCTATTATTGTCAAATATAGTCACGGTGCTTGATAGTGTTATTGAGCTCATCCATGTGCTTATTATTTTCCCAACTTTATAGTATAAAAATATTAATTGTAAGAACTTCTAAATTTTTATTATGGAAATATTCAAATATACACAAAATCAGAAAGAACAGTATAATGAAATCCCAAATACCCATTATGCTGCTTCAAAATTAGTAACATTTAATTTGCAACAGTTAATAAAACTTTTAATAAATACTAAAAAAAAGAAAAAGAAGTATGAACACATTTCTCCCTCCTTAAGAAAAACAGTATGAAAGAAAATACTTAAGTCTATGGTGGCTGTTGTCTGGTACTAAATATTTCCTGTATCAGCTGGCCTCCATCTGTTGGAATGACTGTGAAATATACTCACAGAACTTCAGATGACTAAGGAACTTTGCAAGATCTAGAAAAAACAGTTTAAAAACTGGCACTTCTGTAGTCTAAACCCTAATGAACTAGACATCATTAGTTTTCCATAAAAGAGATTTCTTATTCATCTTCAAAAAATCTGGCCCAGTTTATCTGTCTTGTCAGCTACCTTAAAGTATTGACCAAACTAATCCCAGACCCTGGTGACAAAGGCTATCAAAGCAGATTTGAAGTGAACTTAGAAATGTCTTAGTAAATGATAGCTGACAAGTCACAGAAATCATGAGTAGGAAAATACAGGATAATGATATAAGAGACAAGATTCAGAATCTCCTTTTAAGAGGCTAAAAGTTCATCACTAAAATCTCATAATTAAACTTTGGTGCTAGTTCATCTACACAGGAAACTACAAGGCAGGTACCAACACGGTCTCACTCTCAGGCAGTATGAGCTCATACACCACATCATAACTTATTTGTTTATAATTTTTCATAGCACCTTTCATTTTCAGAGTCAAGAGAAGTCATCATTTAAAAAGCATAAAAAGGCATTGTCTTTTAGAGATTTTAAAGATTAAATAACATGATGTCTGGGATTTGCTTCAAATCCACTGTGGGAGGTTAATATATGAAAAAAGATTGGCCACAAGTTAATAAATGTTGAGGTGGGGTGATGAATACATGGAGATTACACTATTTTATTTTTGTATATATTTGAAATTTTTCATAATGAAAGTTTCAAAAAGTCATAATGCTCCTTTTTTGTAATACCTGGCTAGGCTTTTTCTTTTTAATCGTCACTGCCATTGCTGATGCCAATTCAAGATGACATAATGATGAAGAATACTGCCACTGTCTTACCCAGTTCCATGTGATCTTTCTTTAGATCTCTACAGTTTCCAATATGCTTCTTTGGCACCACAAGATAATGATGAGGTACTGCTGGTTTGATATCTTTGAAGCAAACTAGGTCTTCATTCTAAAGGAAAAAAACGTATCATTTGTTAGCGAATTTTTCAAAAGAATTTCCTAATGCTGTTCCGGCATGTCTTAAACATCGTAAATCTCAGTCTGATAGGGAAATGGTACTTATGTTACAACTAAGCCCCAGTGGGCAATTTTGTGATTACGCCTTAGATCCATAAAGATAAGCTTTAGCCTCCTTCATGAGATGCTCATTTATTCCAGAGAATAAAAAGACTTATATAAAGTCAATTTCAGGAAAACAGTTATGAATGAGGTTCATTAAAACTTCATTACCAACAATTCCAGAGTTTTTTTAAATTTTATTATCTATTTCTCCGTCTCTACCCTAAGGGTTTTTTCACGCTTAATGTGTACTTTTAAAGGTTTGACTACAGAATCACAGCAAGATGGACATATTGTTTTTTGCACTTAATTTTTTTCCAAAGTGGCATGTTCCTCAATTATAACAAGAACATCCTCAGGCGGGCCCCATGGCTTAGCAGTTAAGTGCGCGCTCTGCGCTGGCGGCCCGGGGTTTGGATCCGGGGCGCGCACAGACGCACTGCTTCTCCGGCCATACTGAGGCCGAGTCCCATATACAGCAACTAGAAGGATGTGCAACTATGACATACAACTATCTACTGGGGCTTTGGGGGAAAAAATAAACAAATAAAAATTATAAAAAAAAAATAATAATAAATAAATAAAGAACATCCTCTAGCATCTACATATCCATGGGATAATTTTAAACATTTTTTTACAGCAATTATATACAAATACTTTGTCTTTATGTTTACTTGCCACTTTACAGCATTAAAAAGACTTTGAAATGCTGCAACAAGCCCCAATATATTGTACAAAGTCATGTGCTCAATCCACTACACGTGTGGCGTCAGTTTTCTGGTTTACACACTCCACACAGTAATGTAAGGAAAAAAGAAAAGGGAGTCTTTCAACCTATTAATATTTGAGTTTCAAGCTTTTCCAAGGGAAAAATCTATATTCCCTAAACAACCTCATTCAATATCTTATATAAAAAATTAGTCAAAATTAAATAAAATCAGTAAGTATAATTTCCCTCAGAAAAATTTCCAGAAAGCACTGTTACTCATTAGTTCTCCACTCCACGAACCAAAATTCAATTTGAATGAGGGCACATATCCAGGCCAGTAATCTTGGTTTCACTGAGAATAATGGTGTTGGCAATTGCACATACTGCCCCATCAACTTCCTTCTCAGTGTCCACGCAGCTCACCTCAACATCAGGTGACTGATAACTCGACCTCCGGTGAGACCACACTTCAGAGACTGGGACTTGTCTACTTTAGCCCCCAGCAGGCCATGATTGTAATGGGAGGCAGCAAAGACAAGGTATTACGTGTCCCTTTCCTACCTTAAGACTTCTATAAAATGACCACAATACCACTTGATTAAAATACTGTTTAAATATTGACTTTGTTGCTGTCATCACTTATATACCTTCAGCCTAGAAGCTGCTAAAATGTGGAGGCACAACTACACAAAAATCTTGATTATTTTTCCAGCTATTAAGTGTGACCTGCCTATAAGATGAGTACAGGGAGGGGGAAAAAGCTGTTACTTTAAAGATCTTGTGGTAAACACAGTGATGGTTAACTGAAAGCAGCATGAGCTAGGAGAAAAGTACACGAGTAAGAACTGAATTGAGGTGCCTGCTGACAGAAACAGGGATTTGATGCCGTGTTTGAAGAATAGGAGAATCCTTCATTACCCTCAAACTTTCAGGAAAAATCTATAGCAACTGTTGCTTTGTGTTAATGTATCAGGAAAATGAAAGGAAAAGAATCTGCGTTACTTTCTTTGGTTAATGCAAGACAAAGGTTTGAGGCTAAGACAGAATATTCAGTAGAAACAGAGAATACGAGAGGTGACTAGGGATAATGTATACAGCACACTCCTCCCAGCCTCAGGAGAAAATCCTCTGATACAGTGGAGAGACTGGTGGGTTTCCTGTGATTCATGGATAGAGGCTCAGATCAGTTTTGCGTGTGAGCATACACATACTTATATACACGCATGTACATATGTATACATGAATACATATATACCCGTGTATGTGCACATGTATGTATATATAAATATATATTTTTTAAAAATAATATATATATAAAAAGAGAAATCCCAGAAGGTTGATGACTTGGGGAACCCCAATGGCTAACCCTAAAATAATATGACAATTACATCAATTTTAGTCCATTTTATTATCGCTTTTCTGTCTAGTACTAACTTTAAATTTTTTTTTTTTTTTTTTTTTTAAAATTTTTTTTTTTTTTTTTTTTCCCCCCAAAGCCCCAGTGGATAGTTGTGTGTCGTAGCTGCACATCCTTCTAGTTGCTGCATGTGGGACTCGGCCTCAGGATGAACGGAGAAGTGGTGCCTCGATGCGCACCCG